CCCCCTCCCCCCCCCCCCCCCCCCCCCCCGCCCTGCCACTCCATCCCAGGAGCCTCACAGCATATGACAGTGGACTTTGAAGTGGCCAGACTGAGTCATTTATTCCACTTCGATTAAAGCCAAAACTTATGAGCACAAAAGAGAGTGGTATTTTTTTTTTCTTTGGCTTTACTGATTTTTCTTTTCTGGTGAAGAACAATGTAGGACAGGAGGCCAAGATACAAGCTGTCTTCTGTGAGCCAGCATGAGTCCTTTCTGTTTCCCCTCCTGCACCTGTTATTCAGCGGCTCCCCTTTCCACACCACGGAAGAGTCCACTAGCAGCCCCTGCTGTAGCTGAAGCTGCGAGGCTGGCACTTGGCTTGTGTCTGCCGGCCAGGCCGGGTCCACAGTGAGAGCAGCTCTCAATCCAGCAGGAGTTTCCTCCCCATAGACTGAGCAGGCACAGGAGTAGCTGCCTTTGTCCTGGCATTGCTTGGGGTGGAGGGGAGACAAAGCCTCAAAGATCAGAGACGACAGGGAAATTAATTTCATATTTACTGAGCTTACTCTCAAACACAGCAGATCTAAACAGGTAGGATGATTATTTTGGCCTGTGTGATTCAGTCAGCTGCCCGTGTTATTTTCCCATTTCCCAGAAACAGCTATTCATTTCAATCAACTAAATGTTTTCACAGAACAGAAGGATTTAGAGTTCTACGCTGTAATACTTCTGAGTGCTAGTTTCAGCAGATGCCCAGGAAGTGTCTTAATATTACTTCCATGTCACTTAGGATGAAAATATTTATGATTTACTTTAGATGTAGGACACTAAACATAAAAAGTTAATGAAGAAAGGGAAGAAAAACAAATTCTGCCCTTAGCTGGGCCATACTTGATGTCCTTAAAATCTTGAAAATCGTGCAGTTTTAGGGACGACATCATCATGTACGCTTGTACATTCAGTCTTTAGAAAGTCAGTTCCTTGAAGACTGGAATCATGTCTTGTTAAATATTATATATTTAACAATAATATCAGTATATTGATCCCCAGTAAGAAAGTGTATATTTAGTGACTACTTAATATAGGGACAGTAATTGCTAAGTACAAAGGCTTTGGTATTAATTTCTAAATCGCCAGCACATTTTTTTAAGATCATCTTTTTTTTTTTTTTTTTTT